GGATAGGTGTGTCGGAGACGGTAAGATTAGCACAGGATGGAGCAGGGTTTAGGGCTGTTGTACATAGGGTTGTTATGAGTTGCAGGCAACTTGATGGCACATAACAACAACAACAACAACAACTTATTTTAAGAACTTTATCTTATTTAATGCTGTTGTTATTGTTAGCTACTGTTGAGTCAAATATGACTCATAGGGACCCATGAACAACATATCTGAACTCTGTCCTATGTTGGGCCATCCTCATCATCTCTGACATACTTTAACTCATTGCTGCAATCATTGTATTAATCCATCTTATTAAGGAACTTCCCTTTTTTTGCTGACCCTCCACTTTTCCAAGCATGATGTTTCTTTCCATGCATGATGTGGCTTTCCAATGAACAACTCTTCCTAAGAACATGCCCAAAATATGAGAGACGTAGATTCGCCATCCTTAACCTCTAAGCACTCTGGCTGCACTCTCTCCAAGACATATTTGCTTGTTCTTTCTGCAGTCCATGAGATATCAGTGCTGTTCTCCAACACCACAACTCAAAGGTATCAATTCTTCTTTTGTCTCCTTAGTCATTGTCCAGCTCTCAGATGCATCACAAGTGATTGAAAAGACCATGGCCTGAATCAGACACATATGAGGGTCTAAACTGAAACCATGGCTCCTAAATGCTTTAGAGAGGTCATTGATGGCAGATTTCCCCAATGTCTTGATTTCTTAACTCCTGGTACCAAGTGTGTTGGCTTTAGAGCCAAGTAAGATGAAAGAATTGACAATTTCAATCTATTCTCCCTCTATCATGATGTTACTTATCAACCCATTGGTGAGGATTTTTGTTTTCTTGATGTTGAGATGTAACCCATATTGAAGACTGTACTTTTTCAGTCTTCTGCAGCAAGAGTTCCAAATCCTCCTCAGTTTCAGCAAACAAGGTTATGTCATCTGCGTAACACAAGTTGTCAGCCTTCCTGCACTTCTGACGCCACAATCTCCTTCATAAACTGCAGCTTCTCTAATAATTTGGTCAGTATACAGATTGAATAGGGAGAGCAAAAGGATCCACATGTTTCTTGGTTTTAAACCATGTAGTATTCCCTTGCATTTTAATTTCTTTTCAGTGATTTGCTTTGTGGTTTTTATTTACTTAGTTCCTCCCACCCCTTGATATGAGCGTGAAAACTTGGTAACATAGTGCTTAAGTGGCTAATTGAAATGCAGAGCAAAGAAACCGGTTTCTCTGCTACTGTAAAGATTAACAGCCTCAGAAACCTGTGGGTCAAGTCTTCTCTGCCCTCTAGGGTCAATATGAGTTAGAATTCACTTGATAGCGATAGGGTGGATTAGGATGATTTGACAAAAAAATCCTTCTTAATGCTCTACAATATTGATGGATGTGTATAGTACATGTATAGAAATATTCTGTGAAAATTACATTTTTCTGTGAGTGTAGTCCTTTTTGCATTTCCATCCCTGTTCAAACTGAGCATTAATGTATACATTAGCAGACTATTGTTATTACTGTTGTAGTATTGTGTATATAATAGTATTCATTTTTTGTTGCTTTTAACTCTTGTGTTCTTCCTATTGCCTTCGTTTGTCTTGATCATTTCTCTGAGCTCCTCCTGATGGGAAATACTATTTCTTTATGGGAAATACTAATTATTGTTAAAAGGACAGAACTTAATATCTATTCAACTCCTGCTTTTTGTTTTTATAGTGGAGCTTACCGAAAATGTTCACATAAAAAGTAGGTGAGAATGGAGTACTTCTGTTAAAGCTAAATAGATATTTGAACTTCAGATGTGTCATATTACTAAATATAATGCGTCAGGATTGGTGGAAGATCTATTAACAATCTGTGTTATGCAGTTGACACAACCCTGCTTCTGAAACTGCTGCAGAGGGTCAAGGATTGCAGCCTTCAGTATGGACTGAGGCTCAATGTCAAGAAGACAAGGATTCTCACCACTGGACCAATTGGCAGCATCAGGATGGATGGTGAAGAGATTGAGATTGTTCACAGCTTCAGTTTGCTCGGCTCCATGGCCAATACTCTTGGCACCAGCAGCCAGGAAATAAAAAAAGTATTGCGATGGAAAAGTCTGCTGTTAGGGACCTCTCTAAAGTACTCAAGAGCAACGGTGTGTCTCTGGAGACTAAGGTGTGTCTGATACAGGCCATGGTCTTTGCAATTACTTGTTATGCATCAGAGAGTTGGACAATGACTAGGGAGGATAAGAGAATTGATGCCTTTGAGCTGTGGTGCTGGAGAAGAGTATTGAATGTACCATGGACTGCCAAGAGAACAGATTAATCCTGGAGAGGGTTAAACCAGGCTACTCCTTAGAGGCAAGGATTCTAGGGCTTCGTCTGACATACTTTGGACATGTTGTAAGGAGGGAGAGGTCCTTGGAGAGTGACATCCTGCTTGGGAGGTTGGAGGGACAGCGCAGAGGGAAAGGCCCTCTATGAGGTGGATTGTTCAGTGACTAAAGTAATCGGGATGGGTGTGTCAGAGGCAGTGCAATTGGCACAGGATAGAGCAGAGTTTAGGGCTGTTGTACATAGAGTCGCTATGAGTCGCAAACAACTCAACGGCACATAACAACAACGACAACAATGTGTAAGATCTGTAAAAAATAAGTGGTTTAATTCTCTATCAGCCCTATTTCCAATCTTACTGAAAACAAAACTCTGAAACCACTTAAGTTGCAAAATATTTCATTATTCAGTCATTATGGTCATTAACTTTCTTAGTTTCTAGGGAATATATATGTAAACACCCTTACAGGTTAAATGAAAAAAACTATTAATGATCCCAAGTGCTCTCTTATTTAAAATTTAAACCACAACAATAAGAAAAGTTTTAGGATGTAAGAACAGCATTAGTGTCAACACATCTTCAGTAATACAATGCTGACAAAGTTCTGTAATCTCCCATTTAATAACATGTTTTCATAAATATTATAGAACAAGGTAATGTTCACTTCATTCTGACTCTTGGTAATCCTGGTGTTTCAGAATAGAGTGGGAGTTCATTGGGTTTTCAATGTTTGGTTTTGGAAGTACATCTTAAAACTCATCCAAGGAATTGTTATTGTTTTGCATGTGTGTTAGTCATTAAAGTTTTGTTTTACAAAGCTTTTCCTCTGTGATTGAGCCCAAGTTTTTTAATGAGAAAATGAGAAATGTTAAATTATGTCTGTCATCGTCTCTCTTTTTTTTCTTCTTTTGCTCTTGAAGCAGTTAACTGGGAAAAAGGTAAGAGGAATAAGGAAGGACACATGTGTTGGGGTGAGGTGGAAAGTGGAGGTAGGGTGCAAAACGTGTCTTATGAGTCAGTTTTTATGCTGGAAGTTGTGATGGCCTCTCGCATCTCAAGTAGAGACAGGTCGGGAACACTAGGCGCTCTCATGCCTTTCTTTTCGTCAAGTGGGTGTCAGCAGATGGGACTTGCCAGATGAGCTGGGGATCTCTGGTTAACAGTCCACCAGCATGTGGGCGTAAATGCTGAAATGCTTGGCCTCGTCTTCAGGCTCAGGGCTAGTGGGTGATTTTAATCTGTATCCCTCAGGCCTGCTTTTGGTTTTGGTCAAACATTCTTCTAGGTGGTATTACACTGGTCTGTTGATTTGCTGTACAGAGGTAACTCATGGTCGCTGTTATGCCGAACACTGTGACCCTGATGTGCCAAATGTAATATTGGTCACACATGACAGACAGTGTTTGGTGGAGCTCCCCAATTATAAGAAGCTTGGAAGCAGGAGTGGCATCCACTTCTGAAATAGCTTGCCTCTGGAAACCCTATGAACTTGGAGAAATGAAAGTTATAGTTATACAGTGTTCAGGTCTTTCGTTCATAGGGTTGCTATGAGTCGCCTATGACTCAACGACATTTAACAACAACTCCATCCTTATTGTATGAAGTAGCATTTTGATGTTGGTCTCTGGTTTTTAATTCAAGACACTAAGGAGTTACTTTATTTTCCATGTTGTTGTTGTATCAAGTGCTGGCCTTCAGTAGGACTCACAGTGACCCTATGAACAAAAACATCTGAACCCTGTTCTGTCCTGTGCCATCCTCACACTTCCCAACACACAAGAGCCCATTGCAGCAGTCACCATGTCAATCCACCTAATTGAGGGTCTTCCTCTCCTTCACTTCTCTACTCTTCCCAGCATCATGTACTTCTCCAAGGAATAACATCTCCTAGCAACACACCCAAAATATGTGTCCAAAATATGTGAGGTGAAGCCTTGTCATTACTGCATCCAAAGAGCACTCGGCTGCACCATCTCCGAGACCTAGCTGTTTGTTCTCTTAACTGTCCAAGGGATGTTCCGTGCTTTTCTCCAACACCACAGCTCAAAGGCATCAGTTCTTTTTCTGCCATCCTTATTCATTGTCCAGCTCTCAGATGCACTTTATTCAAATTTGTTTTCACAGTGAAGAAATAAATCATCAAATGTGTAAGAATAGATGGAATGAAAGTATATTTGTTAGATTTTTTTTTCCAAATCTGTGTCCAGTGAATCCAAATAGAAACATCTTAACTGACTATATTAGCCTGAAAATGCATACAGAAAACCATTACTTGATTATCTCTACTGGGGTGCTCTGGTGGTTTATTTGGTAGGGAATTGCACTGTCAACCTAAAGGTGATACCTCTCCGGCTGTTCTAATCCACTGGTGGCTCCTTGGAAGAAATATGAGCAATCTCTTCCTATGCAATTTATAGCTTCTGAAAACCCACAGAAAGGTCAGCTATCACTTGGGTTTGACTCAATGGCAATGAGAGAGAGAGGGAGGGAGAGAGAGAGAGAGAGAAACTGTGTGCAGACATATTTTGTACAATAAGAAGGTTTATTGTCAAGGAGACAAAAGCAGCACAATGACTTCATAATTATCAGTTATGCCAAGAGTATGATCAAAACACCATGTGAAGACAGAGGAGGGGTAAACCCACACAGAACTATGAATAAGCACATTTGACCCAATGTATCTTAAATTACTTCTATATCATATGCCAGGGGGCCTTCAATGGAAAAGCCTAGGTAGAAGGTCACTCTTTCTATGTTCCCACCACTTCTGAGTGGCCCTGAATACACAGAAGTCACTGGTATTCTTATTTTTTCTTTTGTTCCATATTCTACAAAGATTTGTTTGCCAACAGCCTGACCAACGAGACGACGCAGGATCTCTTTGACTTCTTTTATTTTCCACACGTCGCCGCTCTGCCACAGGGAATTTGTATTTTGCTCTTTACTGAAGTACTGCTCTATCTCAGCCTTGTGCACGATAGTGTTGAGACCCTTGCTCTTGCCCAGATAGAAGAGTGTGCTGGCCTGCTTGGATCGACACATGTGCCTGTAGTGTCTCCCAAAGGATCGATTTAAAGATGAAACATACTTTTCCATTGATTTGGAATCCTGATCAAGCTCCTGATTTTCTGGCCAGAACAGGAGGCAGGCTAAGAAATAAGGGTCTGGAAATTGAAGAGTTGAGTCGACTAATTGCAAGACTTCTCGGAGCTGCTTTTTCAGCAAGTTAAACGGCTGGATAAACCTGGAGTTGGGTTTTAGACAACTGAGAATTATGTTTGCCAAGATGAAATTCTGCTTCTCCCTTATCAGCTTTTTATTTGGGTTTTTCTGCAGAAGGATTTGGTATTTGTTCACTATGTTTTCCATTGTGTTCGGAGCATTTTTGTGGTTTGGGTTAAGATATTCCAGGAGTCCGGAAAACCTATCTGCTTTCAGAGCTTCTAGACTTTGCCTGCAGGTCTCCTCTTGGAGTAACTCGTGCTTTTGTGATGAATCCAAATCTTTTAAATGACAGAACAGTTCTGTGTATTTCTTGAAACAACGACTGACTTTGTTACTTAGCACTATTTCAACAATTTCTTTCTGAGTGCTTCTTGTTTTCAGAAGGACCATGTAATCGACAAAAAAGTCAAAGCACTTTTTCATTTCTGGTTGTAAATCTTGTAGATAAGTTGTGAAATTCTGAAGGGTCAAATGATACTCATTTTCTGGACCAGCAGGAATGGTTCCTGTTCCTGATAAAAATTGTATCATAGATTTTGTAGCAGATTCATTTTCTTTGTGGAACAAGGGAGTGAGCTGAAGAATCTGGATAGTGTAAAGGCCGACTTCTATTTCACCCAAGAAACCAGCTGTGTTATACATGTCATATTTTCTCTTCTGTAGTGACCAGGCTTCTGGTTCACTGTCTTTACAATCAGTTTGCTTCTGGGACTCTTTAAAAGCTTTTGAGGCTTTTTCAGCAGCTTCTAGGGTATGTGCTAGATCATTGACAGTAATGTTCCTACAAGTTTGGTTTTGATCCAGCCACCATTTTATTTCACTTTTGTAGACTTGACCAAGTGTATCTGAGATATAAGAATTTTTAGGTGCTATCCTTTTGGCTTGATTTGCCCAATACAGAGCAGTGTTAAAGTTTTTAATTTTAATGTAAAAATGTCTTGCTAATGCTTGGCAAATAAATGCATTTTGTGGGAATCGGATACTTCCTTGTTTCAAGACTTTTTCAACATTTTTGTTAGGTAAAGCTTCGATTAATGGGGAAAACAAAGTATCCATTTTATCACCATATTCCTTGCGCTGTCTTGTAAGCAGAAGTGTTTGCACGTCATGGAGAAATTTGTCTCTTCCTATCCCAGAGCTGTAGAATAATTTCTCATGCAGCATCTCCAGTGCAATTTTACTTTTGTCTAAATGGTAGCTTTTTTCCAATTCTTTTAGACAGTAACTGGCGATGAGAGGGTGAATAATGCGCACGCCTGTGTATCTCCCATATTCTGCAACTTCCATTTCAATTAAAAGTGTGGAATAGTTTCTCATCTTGTCTTGTAGAGTTTCAGGCTCCCAAGGTGTCTTAGTATGTGTTATTCCCAAAAATAGTTCACACTGTGACACGGAAATTGTCGAATCAGTAACATAAGAGTTGAGCAGAGCCAGGAAAGACAAAAGTTTTCCTTCTTTGCTGTCAACCTCATAACCTTCCAGGATGTTTTTTACTACCTTTTCTACATACGTTTCATCAAAATTTTTTTTCATGATCATGAAGGAATAAAAGTTTTCACAGTTCTTGTGCTGCTTTTCAATTTCCATCAGTTTGTCCTCAAATGCTCTTTTTTCTTTGGGAGAAAGTTGATATTTCAGTGCAATGCCATCTTCAAATCTTGCGCTTTCATCGGGGTTCTGGGACCTCATACAGTTCAAGAGAATGACCAGTGTTTTCTCATATCGAAACTCCTTCTCTGCTAAACTGGCATGGATAGCATTCTGCAGAATGCAGATGTTTTCTGGGTCTTCAAAGTCATCCACCAGGAGAAGCACAGGCATGTATTCCTGAGGGCTGGTTGTCTTATAGGTGATTAAATTGATCACTTGTTCTCCAATTTCTGTAAAATCAGCTGCTTTATTTTTAAGTACAGCACATCTGAAGTTTTTCTTCAGGTCCCAGAGAACATGCATAGCCAACGTACTCCCCCCACAGCCTGGATGATGGAAAAGGTTGATGATTTTGGCAAATATTGGTTTAGGAGACTCAGCCAAGTACTCTATCAGCTCTTTAAGATTTTCATAACGGTCTCTTTTGACAAAAGTGGAAGAATAATTTTCAGAAGAAAAATAGAAGTTCCACCAGGATACCTTGCCACCTTTATAAAAGTCTTCTTCTTTTGATTTCCTAAATTCCAGGAATTTTTTATCGTCTTTCTCTATGTCTGTGTCCCTGCACTCATTTTCACAGAGGATTTCTAGTGTAGTAAAGAGATCCTCTTCCTTTTTCTCAAGGATAACAGATGTCAGCCCATGAGAAGGCAGAAATCTTTGTGATGACTGAATCACTGACTTTAGTTTAAGGATAGTATTGTTTATCTGTCCTAAATTCAAAGTGGAAATGCTATGTTTTGTTAACTCATCTGCTATCGTCAGTCTTGTTTGCAGCCGATCTTTCCATCGCTGGTAAATTTGTGAGTTTGCACAGATGCACAATATATTTTCCATTCCATTGAGAGCTTGATAGAAAGCCCAGAACGTTTCAATGAGGGGATCTCCTGGGCTTTCCACTAAAGAGAATAATAGGAACACCACCAGAAATTTCCCTCTTGGTATTAAATTTCCATCTGTGAGAAAAGAAATCAGTTTCCTGACTTCCGAAGCTCTTTCTCTCTGCCACAGATGTGGTTCCAGAGGTTTGTTGGTGTCTGTGTTCAGGTCTGACCTGCCGTTGCAGAAGATCCAGCTGGGTTGCTCATAGAGATTCAGAGTCGATATAATCTCTCTGATGGTCGTTGTCTTTTCTTCATACTGACTGGGAAAGTGTAGGTTTGCTACTCGACTTTCTTTGTAAGCTTTAGCCACCCCGTTGCTCACCGATTCAGGATCAAACTCCAACACAGCAAACAATTTCATTTCTTTTAGAAAGTCCAAGTGCTTTGTTTGATTTGGATGACATTTATTTGTTACAAGAACATACCAACCATAGTATGAATTATCCAGGGAGTCTCGGCTTCCTAGGAGAAGTTTAACTAGTTTTAATCCTTCCTTCTCCTTTTTATTTGCCTTTACTCCATATTCCTCTTCTGCTTCTTTTCTAGCTGCTACTATTGACTCTAAATTTAGTAAATATGCTTTGAATTCTGCTTCCCGTTGTTTGACATTGGCAAGGATATCTTTGGAGCTAGCCCCATCTCTTACAAATAATGAATGATCTTTGTTTTGTCTCCATGTTCCATCTTTATCGTTTTGCATGCTAATGTAGAAAGACTTCATTTTACATACAGAAGACTTTGGAATAACATCAACTTCAATGACAAATTTGTCAGACAATGTATTGTTCTGCTGTAGGACTTCCACAAACCTTGGCTCCCTAATGCACTGCTTGGCTTCCTTGACATGACTGTCTTCAAAATACTGGTTGATCATTAGATTGAAGTGGTCAATGAAGGCATCCTTACTGGTGACACTCACACCAACAATTTCTCCATGGGGTTTGTCCTTGACTCCTAAATGGATAGTACCATTTGTGCGTACGTTCATGCAAGCAGATGCAAATCGGAAGACTTCATTGCTAAATTTCATCTGAATGTCCTTTGCTGTGGCTGTGCTTGTATTTGTGAAGGCCTTGAACTCATGGATTGGGTCAATGAGATTGAGTGGTCCCGTTTCAGGCTGTAGAATATAATGCTCTATGTAGCGTCTGCTATCATGGAATTTGTCAAAAGGATATGGCAAACAAGTGAGTTTTTCAGGTGCTAGTGCCTTGTTTTCTTTGCCTTTCATAGCTGCTTCTTCAGTTGTTGCATTTTCTTTCAGAAGACTCAATTCTTGTTTTTCAGTATCTCTGGTCTCGGTGAGGTCATGCTCAGTTTTGGATGATATTGGTTTCTCCTTTTTTGACTGTTTTGGCTTTTTTTGGTGTTCCTTTTTAGGAGTTGTTGTGGGATCAAATTTTCCAGAATCATGATTGTCACTTTCAAAACGACTATTATTTAATTTATTGTATCCACGTTTAATCAAAAGTGCTGGACCCCGTGGTAGCCCCATATCTCGAAGATCCTCCTCAGTTAATTCCTGTAGTACTAATCCTGTTACATCTTCCCTGAGCAGAATCTGCCCATATTTCTCATCTAGCTTAAGGTCCTCAGTTACCCACTTTTTCACATGTTCTTTGGTCCAGTCCTGGGTCACTTCAGGTAGAATTATTTGTTCACTCATGGCAAAATGGCAATGTTCTTCCTTGGGAAAAAGTAATACACAAAGTATTTTAGCATAATATTTTGTCATATAAATAACAGTTAATAATTAACTATAGTAATACATAGAATAACTACAATAATACCTAGAATAACTATAATTATCTGTCTATGTATTGAGAGTCAATTCTGATTCAGAGCAACTCTGCAGGGTAGACTTGAACCGCCTCATAGGATTTCCAAGGCTGAATGTCTTTTAAGATACTGACTGCCTCATCTTTCTCCCAAGGAGATTTGAACCACCTATCTTTTAGTGCAACTTAACACTTAATCCATTTCCTCACCAGGAATTGTACAGCTACATAAGGGATCTCTAGTGGCCTAGGGAGCTTTGGTGTGTAGGGAGTGTGCTGTTAATCCAAAGGTGGCACTTCTCTGGAGGTTCAAATGCACCAGGGGCTCCCTGGGAGAAAGGTGGGCAATCTTCTCCTGTGCGATTTACAGCCTCTCAAAACCCAGTGCAGTGTCAGCTATGAGTAGGTTCTGACTCATCAGCAATGAGTTTATTTTAGATTTCTGTATTTATATATTGTCTTTTGTTTTTATATATTTGATTTCATATAAATCCAATCTAATCCAATCCAATACAATCCAGTCCAATCCTCTGAAATCTAGAACTTGTGTAAAATGGAATCCAATCAGATGAGAAAAATAACAATATTTTTCCACTAATAGAGATGATAAAGCCAAAACATGTCAATAGAGAGGATAAAGCCAAAACATGTCAATAGAGAGGATAAAGCCAAAACATGTCATTGAATAAATTCTAATATAACAACACTATATAACATTATTGATTGGGAACTGATGACATTCCTGCAATATGGAATTCTCTGAATGGCAAGAGCTGAGTGTTCCGAACACTCTGGGAACAAGGGTTGTTCACTTTGGTAGAATAATAGAATCACCTGGGTCTCTAGGCCCCCAGATTTTTATTTAATTGGCTATGGGTATGGTGGAACTCAGGAACTTGTATACTTTTGAAAACTTGGTCTAAGTGATTCTTTTGTGCAGACAAGGTTAGTGGTAGCAGTGACAGGCCTGCAGCATCAACACCATTTTGGAGCTAGCTAGAAATTTATATTCTCAGCCTACTGACTCAGAATAAAAATCATGAATCAGTAAAATGAGCCTTTTAAAGAAAGAAAAATAAGGACATAAAATCATTATAAGAGTAAATGGGATAAGGAGCTCTAGTGGCCTAGTGGTGAGAAGCTGCACTGCAGTCCCAGAGGTGTGTGGTTCGAATCCACCAGATGCTCTCCTGAAAAAGGAGGGACAATCTCCTCCTGTACCAGTCAGATCTGATTTAATGGTACATGCACAAAAAATAATAAAAATTAAATTTAAAAAAGGAATAAATGGGATAAAAAGAACAACAATCTAATAAAAACATTTTCTAAAACAATGAACATTTAAAAAATAAAAAATATCAGGGAGTCTAATTTTTTAACAATTAATGTATAACTAGGCACAAAGTCTAGCTAAAATACAAATATGATCCATTTCTGTCTAGGGATTCTTGCAAAACCTCACCTGGAAAGTATATTAAACTTTTGCTGTGGAGGATGAGTTAACTGAAACCTCAACTTTGGGCTCTGTGCAGGGAGAAGCCATTTCTGTTTGCTACAGTTATCTTCTCTTGGTGCTTCTGTTATGTTGTTGTTAGGTGTTGTCCAGTCAGCTATGACTCACAGTGACTCTATGAACAACAGATCTGCACATGGTCCGAGCCTCTGCCATCCCACGATCTCTGACATGCTTGAGCCCATTGGGTCAGTCATTGTGTCGGTCCATCTTGTTAAGGGTCTTCCTCTCACTGACCCTCCCTCTTTCCCAGTATGGTGTCCTTGCCTTCACCTTTCCCCAGCACAACACTCTATCTTATAGTATCTAAGAGAGAAATAACTAAGATACTCAGTATAAGATGATTGCAAAGAAAAGTCTTAAAGAAAATGATTTTTAAGTTTTGCTGGGCATTATCTATAGTTAAATATAACTTTTATATCAATTAAGTTATATAATATAGACATTTGTAAACTACCATAAATAGAGCTTTCTTGACAATTTGGTTTACTTCAACTCCTACTCTTTTGGTCTACATTTCCCCTGGGTCTTCCAGCCTCACTCCCTGAGAATCCCACCTCCAGAAACATTCTGTCCTCTTCCTACACTTTGTAGACGGTTTCTTTTTGAAAGAAGTCCCAAATCCACACAAGTTCTATCTAGTGATACAACATGAAAATGGTGATATTTCTCAATCCTTTAAGGATCCTTTAACAAATAATTGCAGTATACATTTGAAGTATATTAATATTAATTTTCAAAGTTCTACTTCAGTTTTAAAATTCACTTTTAAGATAGCTTTTTAAAGAAGATTAATGACCTCATGTTTTAATGATTAAGAACTTACCAGTGCTTTTCTGAAAACCTCCACTTTTCATAGCAGAAACTTGAAACAGGTCATCGTGAGGTTCTTTGATTTCCAACTCTTAGATCTGTTTTGTCTTAAGAATTTGTAAGAGCCAGTTCCCTGAAAGTGACAACGGAGATGCAAAAATGTAGGTTGAACTGTCCCAATATTGCCATTTGAAGTTTTATCTGGTGGTATATTTGATAAGACTGTTATTATATACCCAAAATGGCATCACAGCAAATTAAAACACTACTTACTAATTTAACTTGTTGTTCTAGAACTATTCCCTGGACAGATTTCTGCCCTCACTTGCTACTGTGAAAGTTTTCAAATGTGTAGAGAATTTGAAACAGACCTCTTCCTCATTCATCAACTGTCTTGTTATCTGGCTTTCAACATTCACGGCAATAGTGAGAAAATCTACGATTGGGCTTTTTGTGTGTGTGTTTTTTAATATAAAAATGTTTTCTTTTCATTTTCCCCCCATTGTTGCACTTTTCTTTCTCTCCTCCCTTCCCCCTTTCCTCAGGCCTCCCCATGATTCCCTTTGTTCCAGATTGTTATCCTACATATAATGCCTAATCATATATTCCTTTAGAACAGGTCTTCCCCTCATCTGATCTAATGCAGTGTTCATTATCTGCCCATTCTTTTCCCATTCTCTCCCCAACCCTCCCTCATGTCTGTCCTATTTTGTAATAGAAGTGTTATGTGATTTGACTATTTTGTACAGTAGTAATATATACACCTTCCTCTCTTTTGCAGACCCTCCATCCATGCAAGCCTGATATTTTTTTCCAAGGGATAGCCTGTCCTAGCAATATGTCCAAAATATGAGAGATGAAGCTTTGTTATTCTTGCATCCAAGGAACACTGCTGCTGTACCTTCCCCCAAACATATCTGTTCTTTTGGGAATCCATGAGATATCCAGTACTCTTCTTCAACACCACAATGTAGAGGAAATCCCCCCTTCAAGATGGACTGATAAGACTGGTGACTGCAGAAATGAGCTCAAGTGTGGCAGAGATGATGAGAACGGCACAATATAGGACAGGGTTCAAGCCTGTTGTTGATAAGGTTGCTATGAGTTGTACTGGACTTGGCAGCACCCGGATAACAGCAACAACAACAATCCTCTCTGCAATTACCAGTAGGTCCAGACTCCTATCTTATCTCTCCTAGGCTACAACACTTGCCCCTCAATGATTTCCCCATTATTATCAATAACCTCTTCAGAGAATTATCAAAATAGCAGCGAGAATAATCTTATTATTCTGTAAATAGCAGTTGTTAGTTGCTCTTGGTCTGACCTTATATAATGTAAAGAAACAATGGTCAGCCTTGGTTACCTTCATGAAATATGTTCATTGAAACTGCAATAAGATAATTTTGATATTTTGTTCAAACTGTTTATCTGACTCAGAAGGAAAACTAAAGTCATTGTTATGAATTAAAAATCCCTATCTACTCTGGTACTCTGTTACCCTTTGATATTACTGCATCTTACTTTTCTTTTTTTCTCGATATCCAATTTTACTCTCTATTGTTAGACCTGCTCCTGTTTTGGGCTATTGCACTTGTTATGACCTCTCCCTGGAATGTTCTTCTACTGGATGCCTGCAGGGCTCCTTGCCTCAATGCCTTCAGGTCTGATTGAGTTTCAGCAAAGTCCTGCTTGGCCAGCCAGCTGAAAATTCATGTTATATGCTGATACTTCTTATCTCTATTATTTTTTTAATGTACTTAGGACCTATCACAAACCAACATCTCATGTCTTTTACTTATTTATCTTGCTTATTTTCTATCATATTTATTTGAAGGTAAACTCCACGAGGAAGAACATGGATTTTTTTTTACTTTGTTTTCAGTTTTAAAAGTGTCTACCACATAGTAGCTTCTCAACAAAAATCTGTTGCACAAAAGAAATGAAAGGACATTTACTTATTTAGAATAGTTGAAAAAGAATGCATTTTTGAAAACACTAGAGTCAGCAATGCCTATGCTGCCAACACAAAGGTATATCGTTCAAAACCACCAGCTGCTCTTTGGGAGAAAGATGGACAATCTACTCCCCTGTGATGTACTGCCTCTATAAACCCCTTGGAGGGTCAGCTATAGATAGGATCCAACCTGAGGGGACACAACAACCACATGAAAAGGGGAGACACTCTAGTGACATCGTCTAACACATGTTGTGTTGGAATCCCCCAACTTCTCAGTGGGAGAAAGATGGACAGTTTCCTCCCATAACATGTACAGCCTCAGAAATCTCATAGAAGGTCATTACACATTGGGATTAACTTGAGGACTGTAGGTTATGGATGAAAGGACTGAACTCCTTTTACTAGTCTTGAATCCCTAGGCAGAAATGTGAAGAGATTTGATTTACTGACTATCCCTAAGTTTGGAATAAATTTCAGCTTCTATCATCTGGTCACAACGAATGAGGACATTTTCTTAAAAATAAAAATAAATATGCCATTCGCTTCACTCCTCCTATGTATCCCACTTCAGAAGACTTTATCAGCTACTTTACACAGTCCAA